TCACTTACCATATTCTTCCCTATTTCAACTTGTGTTCCTAATCTGAATTTTGTGGTGCTGTTTTTGATAGGTTGGACTGTTTATCCCTTTGTGTAAAGACAGATGCAAAACATGAGTTCAATAGTTCTGCTTTCTCCCAGTTCCTAATGGTTCAGTCTGGTTCAGCCAAACTGGTAATGGTATGACAGCCTGGGTTGCAGAACTGGCACTAACCCAGGCTGGCCACACACCCGAATCGGTTCCCCAGTCACTGCCACCATCTTTTTTTTACTGTGCATGCACCAAAAAAATTCCATTGAATTGTGCATGCACATCCAGTGTGTGCACAAAGCGCGCACATGAGCGAACCGGCAGTAGCGCCGCCTGAAACCCACCCCTGCAACACTTGTTCAATGAGTAACATGGTTGTTAAGTGAAGATGGCTTCCCCATTGACTTCGCTTGTCGCAAAAATGATCACATGACAGTTGTTAAGTGAATCACTGTAGTTGTTAAGTTAGGAACATGGTTGATAAGTGAATCTGGCTTCCCCATTGACCTTCTCAGAAGGTCCCAAAAATTGATCACATGACCCCCAGACACTGCAAATGTCATAAATATGAACCAGTTGCCAAGCATCCAAATTGTGATCACATGATCATGGGGATGCTGCAATGGTCATATGAAAAATGGTCATAAGTCACTTTTTTCAGTGTTGTAAGTTCAGTTAGTAAACCGAGAGTTGTAAGTCATAGACTACCTGTATCATCCCTTGCAAGTACCTTGGGGTATGAATATCATCAGATGCCCATTGCCCATAATGAAACATGACTTCTTGGAGGGCTGGGGGTAGTCAGTGCTTCAGAGGGTTGCAGTTTGGACGACACTAACCTTAGAGTAATGCTGTAGCTACTACTATTGCAAATCAATACTACTACTACTACTACTACTACTACTACTACTACTACTACTACTACGGCTCAGCAGGTGTGAGACTCATGTCCCAGAAGCACATGCAAGAGCCAATGAAGGAGCTTGCTGGACCTGCAGAAGGTATGTTCATCAATGCCCACAAGGGATCCGTGGGGTGGGAGCTGGGCAGTGGAGGGGGGGTGGGAGATAACCATTAGATACAAACGACTAGATATAAAGATAGTTCCCCCGCCACCATAGCTCTGCTGCACACTTAATTCCCTTAGTGCTGTCTCACTTCTCATCTTTTCTCATCCTCTCATCTTTCCTACTAGCTTCTCCTATTGGTTTTTATGATTTATCAATCGTTGTTTATTATGATCTATGCCCTATTATTTGCTATTTATATGTATAGCATGAGCTTATGCACTGGAGACAAATTCCTTGTTTGTCCAATCACACCTTCCCTCCAAATTCTATGATTCTATGGCTGACATCTGCAAGTTTCAGATGGTTTGGGGGTGAATACCTGAAGTTAAACTTGGAAGAAGATTATCAGGGTGCCCAAAGAGGTAAGCACTAGTGTTGCAAACCAACAACAGTGCAAATGCTCAAGAAGGTGCCTATTTATGACTGCATCCATGGCCACTTTCATATTTTTTAATGTAACCATGACACGCTGTATATCAAGTGACTGCAGCAAGTCATCTTCAGTTTCAGTTGTTCTATCTAAAACATATTTATAGTCACATATTTGAAAGCTGGCTCATCCCAGAGGGAGCTTAGGAAACAAGCCATAGATCAATTCTACAATTGTATAGGATTAGAAGCGGGCATAAAATAGACCAGGATCTTTAGGGGAAACACTCAATGCTCTGCAATCAATCACCACATCTGTCTCAATTGAAATAAAATGACTCCTACCCTATTCTAGTAGGCTTGCTAAAAGAAAAGAAGAGAAAACTTGAAAAGTTAACTTTTTGTATTAAAGAACTGTGAGTTCGTACAATTAAAGGTGACTGGGCTACACTGGTTCCTTCCTTCTATGGCAGCGTTTCTCAACCGTGGCAACTTGAAGGTGTGTGGACTTGAACTCCCAGAATTCCCCAGTCAGCCTTACTGATTGGAGAACTCTGGGAGTTGAAGTCCACACATCTTCAAGTTGCCAAGGGGGAGAAACACTATTTTAAGGGAACATCTGCCCATCCTTTCCAAAGATCTTCCCACGGCCTGGAAATACACAAATGTTGGTCATGTCAAAGATGGACTAATTCTATGTTTCTAAACAAAAGTGCCCCAAACAGATGGTAACTGAAACAATATTCTTAATATTGCCTGGGATTTAGAGTATACTTGAATGTCACAGACCAACTGAAAAATGTAAGAATGCAATGGTTGCATTGCTATGGCTCACTTAGCCATAGCCATTTATTCATGGTTGATATAAGTAACTCTGTTTTCTGGGCTTACATGACACACGGAATGATAACTTAAGCATGCTGCCTATGTTTTCATAACATCCAAGCTAAGGGTTGCCAGTGAACAAAGACAGAGAGGATTAAGACCTGCTTCAAGAGGAGACAGCCAATACAGTAAAAGTGGCCAACATTTGGAAATGGAGATAAAATTCAATAGGGAAACTGGAGAGGAGGAGGAAGGGAGGAAATGAAGAAGGAGTAGCAGGAAGAAGAGGAAGAGGAGGAAGAAGAGAAGGAAGAGGAAGAGGAGGAAGAAGAAGAGCAGGAAGAAGAGGAAGAAGAGGAAGAGGAAGAAGAAGAGTAGGAAGAGAGGAGGAGCAGGAAGAAGAGAAGAAAGAGGAGGAGGAAGAGGAGGAGGAACAGGAAGAAGAGGAAGATGAAGAAGAGGAGGAGCAGGAACAAGAATAGGAAGAGGAAGAGGAAGAAGAAGAGGAGGAAGAGAGGAGGAGCAGGAAGAAGAGAAGAAAGAGGAGGAGGAAGAGGAGGAGCAGGAAGAAGAGGAAGAGGAAGAAGAGGAGGAGGAAGAGAGGAGGAGCAGGAAGAAGAGAAGAGGAGGAAGAGGAGGAGGAGCAGGAAGAAGAGGAGCAG